CTTCGCTCAGTCTGAAACATAAATTAGTTGGCATCAGATGCGAACTGTTGGGGAGGGGGGGATCAAGAACCACTTCTCCATTCCTCTTTGCTCTTCCTTCAGTCACTCTTCTAGTTATAATGAAACATTGAGTACTTACCTTAGTCTGCTCCTAAGCTACCATATTCTCAAGCTGAAGTAAATATGCGGTCGAAAATTCACTCAAAACAGCTTTGTCGAGCGATCCTTGCACTGATCAGTTGCGCTCATACAAGCGAGGAACTTTCACAACTCGCCCATGCGCGGAGTCGGTCTAGTGCTTTCCGCCGTAGTTCTTTCTGGCACTAATTTCTAACACTTGTACAAGGAGCCATGGAGGCCCCGCGGCCCCGCGGGAGGCGCGCGCCTCGAGGATTACCTAGATCGTTATCCATCCTGCTTCACAATAGCTATCTATATGAGGGGGTTAGGTATACAGGGTGGACGGAAATTATGATAACCCCGTGCGCTCGCAGAGAGTTATTTTCACAAACTTTCATTCACTTATGCTTTTCCTTTATGATGCATATTTTTTCGAGTTTTCTGCTGTCATGAATCACCTTAAGAGGCTCATTGTACGCTGAAGTTGGCTAGCACACGGTTACCAGAAACGTCCTGCAATGATCAGGAACGCGGTGGGCAATACCTCTCAAAGTTTGCAGAATTTTCGCGGATGACACCCTCCGGAGCGGGATTGATGTGGGCAGCTACTAAGCGTGATAGCCCAAGCTAATCTCAAGAGAATTCGCTTCCACTGCGATCGTACTCGGCTACCGTGCCTCAGAAGTGCTGAAACCCAAGCCTGGAAAGCCGTTCAGGAGCTCAGAGTTTCTGCGGGACTACTCCTGGAGCAGTCCAGGACAGAAATTTGCCACGATGAATGCTTTCCAAGTGGCTCAAGTCCCTTCACTATGTAGAACTGGATGAGTTGGATTCCAGTTAATGCTGAATATTATTACTCATTGGACATTGAACAACGCTTGTTGTGGTAATCCGGGTTTCTGCAGCGAGGAACGGCCGCTATACCCAGAAATCTTCACACTGTTGTTTATTTCTGATTACCGAGTCAACTAAGCCCATGCTGCGCTAAAAATTGCAATTTTAGATCCTGCGAAAGGAATTCAATTAGAAGAGTGAAGGAACATTTTGCTCCCTATCGTCTGCAGGCTGAGCAGAAGGATTGAAGTGTTCAGTCGTGATCGCGAGCTCTCCAACAAAGCGTCGTTAGCCCCTTTGTCGACACAATTTCTGAATGCTTAACATAATACTCACGGTTTCTTTT